GTCCACCATGGGTGAGCCAACTGGTATTTAAAATACTGGTGATATAGCTTCTAGAATTACAGCAAAACACAATCCATCACAGTATGACAAACTGACAAATGGAATGGCAGAACATCCCATTGTGAAACATATCATCTCAGAACTGGGAACCCTCCCAGAGTTTGCCCTATCAATTTATTCATTTATATCCTATCTTGCCATAATAATAAACCTTTAACAGTGCACTTTTGTAACCTCTAAGAATTGATTCGGTGAATTTAGCAGGAGTCAACAAGGGAAAGTTCCAAGCTTGTAGCAAGCATCCTCCAGGCATAATGGACACCCCAAATTTGTAGCTGAAACGTCAGGGGTAGGATACTGTATGCATTCTTAAACCTGAGACTAAAATCTGCCTCTTTGGCAATCACAACAATATCCTTTGAACTTGTGACATACAACCTAGGTGTAGGTGACTAGTGTCAGAGAAAAAAGTGCTAATTAATTGGGTAGTTGGCATCAGACCTGAATAGAACAGTGAGATGTATGTTTGATATTTTATATTCTGGTATTTATTGACACACTACATTCCCTGCCACTGTACTTGATTGGGACTCCTGATGTGGTACTGTGGGTTAATGCACTGGTCTCCAAAGTCAGTTTGAGCCTCAAGGTCAGTAGTTCAAGCTCACCAGACGCTCCTCTGAAACCCTACACAGGATCACTATGGGTTGGAACTGACTCAATTCATGATTGGTGAAGCTCTATAATGACACCTGAAAATCTAGTTTTGCTATGCAATCTGTGTTTTGGGGTCCTGGAGTGGTACTGTAGGATAATCATTAGACTCCTAACCACAAGGTCTGCAGATCAAACCACACCAGCCACTCCTCAGAAACTCTATACAGAGTGGCTACGAGTTGGATCTGACTCTACAGCACTTACCAAGGGACGAGAACCCAGAATTATTTCAGCACAGATTATTGTATGCAAATCAACAAAATCAGACAATGAGCTATGACGTCCAAGCCCTTCTTCTACTTCTGGTGGTGGTGGTAGTGGTGGTGGTAGTGTGCCCTAGAGTCAGTTTTGACTCACAGTGACCCTGTGTATCTTCTTTACGGGAACAGAAGGACTCATCTTTCTCCCACGAAACCATTGGCAGTTTCAAACTGCTGACCCTGAGATTAGCAGCCCAATTCATAACCACTACGCTACCAGAGCATCTTCTACTGGCGCCTATAAAATCCATCTTAGCATAGATGCAGAGTGTCCTTTCCAGTTACAGAAACTGGTGTTGGTTATGTGTCATGGAGTCGGTTCTGAGTCATAGCCACCCTGTACAGGGTTTCCGAGTTTGTAAATCTTATGGGAGCAGAAAGTCTCATCTTTTTCCTGCGAACAGCTGGTAGTTTCGAACTGTTGACCTTGAGGTTAGCAGCTGGACTCCTAACCACTACGCTACCAGAGTTCCTAGTATATTTAAGAGACTAGGTCTCTAGCCAAGAAACTAAGGTTTTAAAAACTGGCCTATGTTAGCCTTGTGTGATATTGCTTAAGCCTGAGTTATGTGCTGGCCTTAAAATAATGGTGAATTTATGTGCTTTTTCCTTCTGTGTGAGTCTAAGTTTGTCATGAGAAAAAAAAAAAAACCCAAAGAAATCCTAGCTTCTAGTAACACTGAGATTAGATTTATAACAGTCTTTAACTCGTAGGAAAACTGCTGATCAAAGAATAGCAAAAGCTAAAGTTGGTTATCTTTTGCTTTTCAAAATACCTTGGACAACTTGAACTTATTAAAATAAACCCAAAAGGCCAATTATTGTCTTTAGCAATGAGCCAAAAGATAACAGAAGGTGAGCAAGATCGGGACTCCTCTGTCCCCAACCTACAGTCCATGGAATTTCCAGTGCAGCTTTTCAATGATCCTTCCCAACTAAGTGAAACCTTTTAAGACAAAGAATCAGTTCTCAGAAACTAGGTGGATCTCCATCATAAAACTGGAAGGAAGTTGGCTCTATTGTAGAGGGTTTACAAAAAAACCCCAAAATGATAGAAATTGCAATGAGAAACACATAAAAAGAATTGGTAAAGACTTAAATAAAGACTATTTATACACGCTTTCTCACAGTAGTAATTGTATTTTGTGATATACCAGCTTAAGATAAATTCCAACTCTAATGTTGGGTTTTATTATGTTTTGTGAATTGAGTGATAGTTTACATGGGAAAGCATCAGCTTTACAGTCATCCTATCGTATTTCATTTCATTGTGATGATTACAATCCTCTCCATGCATCATCATTCAACAGCATTTGCTTCCATTCCCTTTATTTTTTTGGATATACACCAAAGCACTCAGGAATATATAACCATTCAAACAACCAAAGGGTATACCCTGCAAGCCTGCCCCCTCACCTTGACCACCAGCTCACAGCCCCTCTCCCTCCTTGAGTCCAGAGTCCCCAGCTGCTCCATCTCTCCATATGATCATCTCTGCCTCCATCTCTGGCGTCACTGCTTCTCTGGGTAGGGTCCTGCTCTCCGCTCTTCTCCCTTGATGGTCCCGGGGACCTCCCCTCCTTGCTATAAACTGTCTACCTTTACATTTCCAACCCTCACAATCAGTCCTGATAACAATTATTCACCATTGTACAAGCATAAGATTATGAGCCGGGGCTACTGTGCCACATCACTCCCAGCTTTGTCTTCCTCCAGCAGTTATGGTATTTCCACCCCAAGCTGTCCCACTTGCCTGTCATGGAGGTGACAACAACCCTCCATTCAGAGTCCACCAAGAAAGCACCCTGGAGATGTAGGGCACAGGACAGGGCAGGAAGGAGGTGAGCTAGGTCAGGACTTGAGACTGCCCAGGAGTCAAGCTCATCAGCCACCACCTCTGCTACCCTAGGCCCTGCTCCGGGAAGCTGAGGAGATCAACCTGCTGGTGCAAGAGGTGGAGACACTGTAGGAGCAAGCTGTCCCCAACGATGAGCATACTGTCACCCAGGTGAGCCCCAAATGACTCCACAGCCTCACCGCGCTACTCTCAACCAGCCACACACACCCAGGAGTCCTCATCCGGAGTATGAAATAAATTTTTTGCTACAAGAAAATGACAACAAATTGGACAACAGGTATATAAATAGATAAGCTGAACAGGTTTTGATTTTTAAAGTAGTCTTCAACTTTTATTTCATTCAGTTACAAGATGTGAAAATGTTTAGACAGGTAATACTGACCTCTTCACCTACTCATACAGTAGAGGTGGGTAAGACAGCCCTCCGACACTTCACTTAGGCTGAACTAGTGATCTGTGCTAGCAGCATTTTATCTTCTTAAAAAAGGTTAGCAAGAGTCCTGGTTGGTTCTATACGGTAAGCACTGAACTGTGAACCACACACCTAAGCTGTTCCTGGAAAACCCTATAGAAGGTCACTGTGAGTTGGAACCTACACATTGGCACTTAGCAAGCCAAATGAGGAGGGACACAAGAGGAAAGTTCTAGTCATACAACCAAGCTACACAGCCCTTGTTTCTGCTGGTGGCTCCTCGTTAAACCCTTTTTTGACTCCTAGGACATATAGTGGAGTCCTCATGGGGTGCTGTGGGATAATGCACTGGACCGCAAGGTCAAGTTTGAACTGCAAAGTCAGCAGTTCAAACTCACCAGCCACTCCTCAGAAACCCTATATAGGGTCGCTATGAGTCGGAACAAGACGTACAATGTCCACTTCCACTTTCCATTTCTGGGGATTAGTGGGAAGGAGCTATGCCACTTTCAGTGCATTCTGCCATCTGGTGGACGCCTGTATTCCTGTGCGATTCTAAAGAAATTGACTTCTCACCATCCCCTCTGGTGTGGCACTGTGGGTAAGGCTAGACCACAAGATCAGTTTGAACTTCAAGGTCATAACTTCCTAACTTCAAATTCACCAGCTGTTCCTTAGAACCCCCAGGAAGGGTCACTATGACTCAGAACTGACTGAAAGGCACGTAGTAATAACTATCCCCCTCTACCAGAGACCTCTCAGGACATACTTGTCCAACTATTTAAAAAATCCTGACTACTTAAAATGTGTCTTTCATTCCATTTTAAATGCATTCCACTATTGAAAACACATGGCTTCAGCTCAAAGCAGAAAACAACTTGGTCTTGAAGATGTTAGCCTCCACACACAGAGATTCTGGCCTGTGTCCTAGCATAGAAGTGCAATTCACAGTGAAAGCCCCGGCCTCAATCACAGCAAACATCTGAGGGTGTCATCTGACGTCAGATGAGACTGAATTCTGGCTAACGTTCTGGGCATTCTCAAACGTGGCTTCTTCTGAGTGAGCCAGGAGATTTTTCACAAGGCTTTTTTTTTTTTTTACAACGGAAGCCTTGCCCACGCTACTGGCCCACATGCAGCTTCTATCCTGAGTGTGTCCTCTGGTGCTTAAAGAGGTTTGACTTCTCAGCATAGCCTTGGCCACACTCACTACAAACAAATGGCTTCTCCCCTGAGTGTGTCTTCTGGTGGCAGAGCAAGCCTGACATTCGAGCAAATCCTTGGCCACATTCTTTGTACCCATGAGGCTTCTCCCCTGAGTGTGTCTTCCGATGATGACTGAGGGCAGACTTACCAGCAAAGCCTCGCCCACAGTCCTTGCACACATGTGGCTTCTCCCCTGAGTGTATCCTCTTGTGCACAGATAGATTGGACTTCCATTTAAAGCCTCGGCCACATTCACCACAAACAAATGGCTTCTCCACAGAATGTGTCTTGTGGTGGCAGAACAAGCCGGACATCCAAGCAAACCCTTGGCCACACTCACTGCAAACATATGGCTTCTCCCCAGTGTGTGTTCTCTGGTGCCTGAGGAGGTTTGATTTCCGGTTAAAGCCACGCCCACATTCCTGGCACACATGAGGTTTCTCCCCTGAGTGTGTGTTCTTGTGGTAAACGAGCCCTGACTTCTGGGCAAAGCCTCGGCCACACTCACTGCAAATATAGGGCTTCTCCCCTGAGTGTGTCCTCTGGTGAGTGAGAAGGCTTGATTTCCGGTCAAAGGCTCGGCCACACTCTTCACACACATGTGGCATCTCCCCTGAGTGTGCCTTCTTATGGGAGCGTAAGCCTGATTTGCATTTAAAGCCTCGCCCACACTCTATGCAAACGTATGGCTTCACTCCTGAGTGTGTCCTCTGGTGTGTGAGAAGCTTTGATTTCTGGTTAAAACCTTGGCCACGCTCACTGCAAACATGGGGATGCCCCAAAAAGACAGTCCTCTGGTTTGTGATGAAGTTTGACTTCAGGCCACATTCTGCTCCATCCTTTCTGAAGCCGACTGCTCCAAATCTTGAGGTTTCTAATTCCTTCAGCACTTTATCTGTTTCCACAGACGTCACCCTGTGGGCTGAGTTGGGCTTTATCACAACACCTGTCCTTGTTGACTCTCTTTGGTATAGGCTGCAGAATGCCCATGATCTCTCTGCCTCTTCTCTGCTCTCACACAGGGGATTATCAACATCTCTCTCCTGACTGTCTGTGTTTTCAATCCAGCAGCTCTGATCAGACTGCTTCTGACATCCTGTTCTGGAACCCCCTGAGTGGAAGGGACACTCTGCACACAAGCCTGGGAAGATCTGAAGCACACATTGGCTGAAAAATTGATGACAGGAGCAAGCCAGAAAGCAGGAGGTACAGTGACAGGTTTCTGACTTTGGTTCTGCTGAAAAACAAGAGAGATTTCCATTAGAGCAGCCATGAGTGGGGCAACGTGGGCTGTCTCTTTTCTCCCATGACTGACCACACCTCCTTCCTGAAGAAACTGGGCGGTGCAAACACTTAACTGCTTAGTAACTCGCTGAAGCATATTCAAAGACCACTGATTTTGAACGGTTGACCATTTTGAGAATACTTAGCAGTGTTCCTGTCCCCCTTGTACACCTATCTACTGCTTGGCTGAAAATTTACTCATGACAGTGAGTCAATTTGCAGACCTCAAAGGGGGCTGAGGGGCACAGTCTCAGGTTCCTTGAGTCTCTTTCTAATGCAGTAAGTCTGGTGTTTATAAAAATAACTTTGAATTTTATTCTATATTTTCTATCATTCTATCCAGGAACTACTAATATGATCCCTTTCAGTTACTAGAGGTAGCTGGACACCATCTAATTCTTCTGGTCTCAGGGTGGTGGAGTCTGATGTTCACACGTCCCATTAGTTCACTGGACTCATCAATTCCAAGTGTCTTCAATTTTCATAACTCTGCTTTTCTCTGCACGTGGAAGGACCAATAGATGCACGCCTTACATGGTCGCTCACCTGCTTTTTAAGAACCCAGATCCTACTCACCAATGCAGGATGCTGAACATTGTGTCCGGGGTCTATGTTATGCAAATTGGCTATGTTTCGCCTGTAGACTATGGTCCCCCAACAACTCACTGCCTCAAGATGTTTGGTTATTTGTAAGAAGTCCTCAGTTTGCCCACTATATAGTCTATCACAGGGTCCTCGTACAGGACAGTAGGACAAGCACTAGACTTCTAACTGCAAGGTGTTCAAACCAACCAGCTACTTCTTGGAAACCCTATAGCGGGTCACTGTGAGTTAGAAACCACTCAATGGCACTTAACAACAACGCTCCCATACAGTCAAAGTTGTTATTTCCATCAAAGTTAAAACACTGATGTACAAACCTCCCATGTGTGTATGGTTACATACATGTCACAACTCTTACATACTGAAGACATACACTAAGTGGAGGTATTATTGCAGATTCATGGGGCATGTTTTGTCCAACTTTTGAGGAAGCGCCATGTTGTTTTCCTCCATGGCTGTGTCCTTCTGCAATTCCACTTACAGTTCAGGAGGATGCCTGTCTCTCCAGATCCTGACCTGGTCTTCCTGTTTCCTGCTTTGTTCAACTTTAGCTGTTAATGCTGGGGTGAGATGATAACTCACTGCTGTGTTGATTTATAGTTCTTTAACGAAGTCCTGGAGTGGTGCTGTGGGTTAATGTGCTAGATTGCAAAGTCGGTTTGAACCACATAATCAGCGGCTCAGGCTCACCAGGCATTCCTTGGAAACCCTCCACAGGGTCACTATGAGTCAGAACCAACTCAACGTCACTTCATGACAACAAAAACACCAACAATGGAGTCCTGGACTTCTGGTGTGGTGCTGTAGGATTATAAGCACTGGATTGCTAACTACAAGGTCAGTTGGTTCAAACCTACCAGCTGCTCCTCGAAAATCCTATATATGGTAGGGATAATATGAAAATGACACCATGGCATTTAACAATACTGACAACAATGGAGATCTGATGTGGTGCTATAGTGAAGCTGGTGGTTCAAACACATTATACAGGGACGCTAAGAGTCAGAGCAGACTCAATGACTCTTAACAATAGTAACAACAACAAATGCCAATCACCATGAACATTTCTTGATATATTTATTGGTCCCCGGGATGTGTTCTTTGGTAAAGTGTCTCTTCATGTCATCTTTCCACTTTTAATTGAATGATTTGTCTTTTTCTTAGAAAGGTGTTATATTATTCTATATATTATGAAGATTAGTCCCTTGTCTCATATGTCATTGCCAAAAAATGTTTCCCAGTCTGCTGTCTTTCTCTTTACTCTTGGTGAAATCTTTCAATATACACAATGTCAAATCTTTACTAGGTAGCAGTCATCAATTCTGTCTTCTGTTGTGTGGTTTCACGTGGTGTATTCAGATGATACAACCCTGATCGCTGAAAGTGAAGAGGACTTGAAACATTTACTTATGAAGATTAAAGAGCACAGCCTTCGATATGGATTACATCTCAATGTCAAGAAAACA